CAAAGATATTTCTCCAATAGCTTTTATGAATGGGATATATAAAGTAAAAAATTTCTCAAATTTAATGGATAACACATAATATTTATAATTTAATAATTATCAAATATATTTAAAGTGAGATAATGACGTGCAATTCTAATTTTTCAAATTTAATTTAATTTGATTCTCCTATTTGAAAATTATTTTAATTATTTTCTAAACCAGTAATAATATTCTTCTCTCACATTTCCTCAATCCAATCCAATTGGACAATAAAAATTTATATCATTTGGGATAATCATATAACTATGAAGCTGCAGTTTGCCATCTTTGGCTACATTTGGGACAATTTTTTTTCTTGATTCGTAAAATAGTTTTTTAGCACAAAAATATTGGAAAGCTGCTTTAAGAAGTGGCAGGAAAATTGTTCCAAATGAAACCTTAATCATCCATCTAATTAAGGTGATTGCTCAATATCAATTGCTTATAGTGAACTAAATAACTAAGATGAGTGAATTAAGAATTGCCAAATGATGTGATATTCATATAAAATAACTTTCAAAATTGGCATGAAGAGAAATTTTATTATAATAAAGCTATACAAATTAAATAAACTCATACTAATTATTAAAATGCTAAATTATTGGGAGAAAAATAAAACTTAAAAAATCATGAATATATTTTGTCTTTGTTTGAGATAATTTTCTTGTTGATTTCTAAACAGTTTATTAATTAAAAAAATTATTGAACTAGAATTTTTAGTGCTTAAAATATTTTAGAAAGCATTAAAAAAATAGTCCTAAATGAAACCTTCATTAAAAAAAAAGTAAACAATAATTATTTTATAATTATCATATTAAAAATTATATAAATTTAGTAGTTAAGTACATGTATATAAATATATATTTGAATATATATAATTAGAAGTTAAAGTACACAAATTTATGCATATAAATCCATAGACAAACAAAATTATTGACACTTCGGCTCCGCGCGGACTAAATTTCTTCTCCTTTTCTCTCCTTGACAGCTGATTGGCAAGTTGGCCGGCTGGCTGACCGCCGTCAAATGGCTATGGCGTCGTTTTCTTGTCCGCTTCTACAAAAGCCTCCTTTGTGATTGCTTGAAATTTGGTGGACATTGAGCAGGGTAAGAGAATGCAGAATCAGAGTTTGGTGTTTGCGGTTAATGGCCAGAGATTTGAGCTGGAAAAGGTCGATCCTTCAACTACTTTGCTTGAATTTCTGCGAACGCAGACTCGATTTACTGGGGCAAAGCTTGGATGCGGAGAAGGTGATGCTTTTTTATTCCATTCGAAAAAGGAAATTTATAGTCTGTGTTTATTTGAGCTTTGATGAAAGGTGGAGTTTTGAGTATTTTGTTGAAGGATTTTTATCCATGAATTCGGGTTTTAGGGTTTTGGATTTTTTAAACTTGGCTAATATGCATGTTCTGCATTTCTTAGGTGGTTGCGGAGCTTGTGTAGTTCTCTTAGGAACATATGATCCAGTGAGCGAACAAGTAGAAGAATTCGCAATTAGCTCATGTCTCACTCTTATCTACAGCATAAACTTTTGTTCAGTCACAACTGCTGAGGGCCTAGGAAATGCTAAAGATGGCTTCCATTCTATTCACAAAAGGTTTTCTGGCTTTCATGCTTCGCAATGTGGATTCTGTACTCCTGGCATGTGCATGTCTCTTTACTCTGCTCTAATAAAAGCTGAGAAAAGTGAAAGGCCAGCTCCTCCTTCTGGCTTCTCAAAACTCACTGTTACTGAAGCTCAGAAAGCCATTTCGGGCAATCTTTGTAGATGTACAGGTTACAGGCCAATTGTTGATGCCTGCAAGAGTTTTGCTGCAGATGTGGATTTAGAAGATCTTGGTCTCAATGCATTCTGGAAAAAAGGGGAAAACTCTGCAAGTGTTGAGAAGTTGCCCTCTTTTACTGTTGCTTCTACTTTCCCAGAGTTCTTAAAGTCGGAAATCAAGTCCGTTTTGAATTGCAATTCAGCACTTCCAAATGGTTCAGTCAATGGAAACAAAACACAACTGGATATCTGCTTTAATGCCATGCCGGCAAGTTTGGCGGACGATTCTTGGCATTACCCTAAGACTGTTGATAATGTTTATAAGCTATTGAATTCAAAAGAATTTAATGGTAGCATGGTCAAAATGGTTGCTGGCAATACTGGTTCTGGTGTCTATAAGGAGGATGACCTGTATGATAGATTCATTGATCTAAAAGGAATTCCTGAGCTTTCTTCAATCAAATGTGATGACAAAGGCATTCAAATTGGTGCAACTGTGACAGTTTCAAGGGCTATTGAAGTACTGAAAGAAGAAAGAAAGAGCTTGGTTTTTAATAAAATTGCGGAGCACTTGACCAAGGTGGCCTCAGAATTTGTTCGCAATACTGCAAGTATAGGAGGAAATCTGATACTGGCACAAAGGAAGGGGCTCCCATCAGACATTGCCACCGCACTGATAGCTGTTGATTCAACTGTCTGTTTACAAACAGATTCAAAAAGATTGGCCGTTAAATTGGAGGAGTTCTTAGAGATGCCCCCCTTAATGAATCACAGAACCCTTCTTCTGAGCATCCACATTCCATCCTGGACTTCATCTCCCAATTCAAATTCAGACACCAATGGTTCTGTTGAATCCAAACTGCTATTTGAAACCTACAGGGCAGCACCAAGACCCCTGGGAAATGCAGTTGCATATCTCAATTCTGCTTTCTTAGCTCACACTTCTGCAGATAAAAATTCTGATCATATTATAATAGATAATCTGAAGTTGGCCTTTGGTGCATACGGGAGCGCACACGCAATAAGGGCTAGGGATGTTGAAAAATTATTGATTGGCAAGCCTTGCACATCAGCCATTTTACTTGAAGCAATTATACTGCTTAAGAAGATTATTGTACCTAAACAAGGCACTGCACATCGTGCTTATAGGTCAAGTTTAGCTGCTGCTTTCTTATTTGATTTTCTTCTTCCGCTTTGTAAAGACATGAAAGGAATTGAAGAATTAAGTTTATCTAATGGTCCTGCACCTGCAGAGAATTTTGATGATAGTAGTGGTGAATGCTTCGGCAATCATGATCTGCTTTTATCCTCAAAACAACTATTGTCTTATGGGACACAGCATCGCCCCATTGGTGGGCCAACAAAGAAAGTTGGTGCTGAGCTTCAATCTTCTGGTACTTCCTACTTTTAAATTTAGTTTTGATTTGGAAGGATGTGTGCAATTATCTTATTTGGAAAAAAAACTTGAATATTGTTGTCAAGATCTTGAGATTTATGCTTTGGCACGCGGCATTTAAAAAAAAAAAAGTGCAGCCCTAATGTACCATCTACTTCGTAAATACTTTAAAAAGAAGCAGGCCTTGAGCACTGGTTTGCTTCCAAGTACTTGCTCGAGGAGGGTTTATGCTTGCTATTTAGAAAGCAGTGGTTTCATGATTCAAACTTGTGACCTTCATGTAGCAATGGGAATGGCCAAACCATTGCATCTAAGTTTGTGATTGTTGAATTTAGAGAGTTGAGAGGGAAAAGCTTAACTTTATCGCACAAATATATCCCTATTTATAGATCTATACAAAGTCTCTAATAAATAAATAAATCATTTACAAAATTCAGAGATTGGCGTGATCCAGGTGAGCCTCCAACGGATCCCCATCCTAGCCGTGAGATCAATCTGTGGACACTCTCCCTCAAGCTGGGAATACATATTTGTCATTCCAACTTGGTAATCATTCCCAAAAAGGCCGAACTATCAAGTCCCTTGGTAAGAATATCTATAAGCTAATCTTTTGATGAGACATGGTAGATACATATAAGGCCACTAATTAATTTTTCCTTTATAAAATGTTTGTTCACTACTATATGTTTGGTTTTGTCATGCTAAATCGGATTGTGAGCTATCCTTATTATTGTTTTTTTATGACATTATAGCTTCATGGATCATTCCCACTTTATTTTTAGGTCTTTTAGAATCATCTTGATCCATAGTAGCTCACATATTCTCAAGGTCATAGCTCTGTATTCTACTTTTGTACTAGATCTTGCCACCACATTCCGTTTCTTGCTTCTCCATGTAACAAAGGTTCCTCCAAGGAATGTGCGGTATCCTAAGGTAGATCACCTATTTACTGGTTATCCTGTGTAATCTGCATCAATATATGCTTATGGAGTTATTCCAATCTCTTCTGAAGAGAATCCCTATCTCTGGGTTCCCTTTAAGGTGGTGCAGTATTCTGTCTACAGCTTGCATATGAGTTTATTTTGGATTTTGCATGAACTGGCTGATCATGCTTACCGCAAATGCCATATCTGATCTTGTGTGAGAAAGTTAAATCAATTTTCCCACAAATCTTTGGTAAGTTTTTATATGGACATTAGGTTTGTGGATAATTGAGGTACATGTAATAGATTTTTTAGAGTGAGAGAGAGATAATGATATGTCTCCTTGTCCTACTATTGTTGTAAGAGAACCATTAGCAGTGGTGATTTTTTTATCACTTGGGCAATGAATATAAAATGGGCAGTGGAGTGTCATGTGATTTGTAGCTCCCGAGTTAATGATCAATAAACCTTTCAAATAATTTCTAGAAGCACTTAATCCAATGGAAACATAAAACTTACCTGAAAGTGCAAAAGAAGAAGATGCAGATGATTTTTCAAGGGATACCAGGAGTTGTTTTAGCTTATTATTATCTTCTTTATTGAGCTCTTTGAGGCTGGACTATGTTTTTGGGATGGGTTGACTTGTTGTAGTGTTAAATTGTGATGTATTCCTTTGTCCACTTTTTTGGTTCCATTTTTTGCTGGGTTTTTTTCATGTATCTTTCAGTATGTCTCTTTTGTATGTATTGATTTCTTGCATTAACTACACCAAAGAGAATATTTGTCTTTAAATTTTGAGGAGTCATTACCTTTTTCCTTCTATGGTGCTTCTCTGGTTGTCACCATTGTTGAACTTTCAATAACCTTTGGTTCTAGCATTATCCCTCGTCATCTTTCTTCAGCCCGAATGAGATAAATGATCTCATTTAATGAAGGTGTCTCATCTTTGCTAAGGATCTGGACACTCACCTGATCAAATTATGCGTTTAATTATGTAAAAAAATCATATATTCTATCTTTCTCAATAAAGTTTCCAGGATAACATCATTTTTTGAACACTTGGTTTATATGCATCTGTAGTGATCAAGTTCTTGCCATAGATTTTGAAGGAGAATGACATATTCCATCACAGTTTTGCTTCATTGTTTTGTGCTTCCCACCATAACCTTATTTCAAAGATTTGGGCGGCATCTTGAGCTTTTGAGAAGGTTTGTTTGACGACATCTCATATGTCCTTAACAGTTGATATGAACATAAATATATCACTAATTTTTGGAGTCATGAAATTTCACAACTATGACATAATCATGGCGTCTGCTTCATCCCATGCCCAAAAATTAAGATCTACTTATTTTGTCCCACTCCAAAGAGGTGATTTATCTTCCTTTTTTTCATGTCTTTACAAATTGAGATCAATTCAAATAATTCTTCCCATATAGGCGATACGAAGGTTACATACTTTGGAGATCACCCAGTCCTCAGTGCACCATAGAGTAGTCTTCGATTTGGTTCATAGTCTGGGAAGAATTAATTTCAGACATTGTGGTGTTGAATCATAAAACTGAAGGCTATCTATAAGTTATAGAAGCTCCTGTTTGGTTCGGTCCATACACAAGATCAACTTTCTCGTCGGGCCGAGTCTTCTAGCCACAAGCTTCATCGTGTTCGGATGATTCTTCCAAAAGAAACATAGGAGACTTCATTTTGAGCCTTCCAGCCGATTTGTACGTCCGCTTGATTTCTTCAAAAGATGCACATGAGTTCTCTCCTCCTATCGACTCTTTTAGTCGATAGGTTCGAGTTTATGCAAGCGGATGTTTGTCCGATCCCTTCGATTCTCTCGATCGGCGAACAAGTGCCCTAAGGTATACCCGAGAACTTGTCAACTCTTCCAGTTGACCTTCAGCAGGCTTTCAGCTTGCACGCAGAAGACCTTATGCGCTCGATAGGCATGCTCGGGAGGACTACACGCAGGGAGGGCTGAAGGTACGAAGCCAACTTGTTCGATGATCAATCTTTGCGGCAATGAAGGCTGCCCTGTCTGCTTCATTCGTATCTTCCCTTACGAAGATTTGGCGATTGTAACGATAATAAAGACACCTTGCTTTGATACAATGCTAAATTTAGAGAGCCGAGAGGGAAAAGCTTAACTTTATTGTACAAATATAACCCTATTTATAGATCTATACAAAGTCTCTAATAAAGAAATAAATCAATTACAAAATCTTGCATTATTGACCTAATATAATCCTTTCTAAATCAACCACCTAACTATGAAAAGAGATCGGCGTGATCCAGGTGAGCCTCCCACGGATCCCCATCATAGCCGTGGGATCAATATGCTAAGGGACGACTGAGATTTAACAATGATATGTCATTAAATTGTCATTAAAAATTGTTTTAATCAAGCATGAATCTTGAGGCAAACTATGAAGTTCCTAGGTGAGGGCAAAGCATTATCCATCAGTCGCAGGAAGTGTCCGAACTCATGATTCTTCTCCCCTCCTAGCCGCCAGCCCAAAACCACCCCTCTCCTCCTCCTAGTCGCCGGCCCAAACCCCCTCTCCTCCTTCTAGCCGCCGGCCCAACCCCAAAAACCCCTCCTAGCCGCTGGCTCTAAAACCCTTCCCCTTCTCCTAGCCACTGGCCACATCACCCCCTCCCTTGCCTCCAAATTTCAAATCACAAAGTTGATACTTTCCATTAATGACGTATTTTAAATTAGGAAGGTCTTAAATTCATATTTCAATCTATTTTGAATTTGAAATTCCTTTCCTAAAATAATATGACTTATCTTAAGAAAGTTTCACAATCACGCCAAATTAAATTTAGTTAGGGATTTGCCATAATCTCTCCTTTCTTAATTTAACATTATATATTTGGTAATCCTTTTAATTCCCCAAATCACCTCCCCCCATCAACCTAGTCGCCGCCCCCTCTTCCTCTCCCTTCCCCCTTTTGCTCCTTCCAATTAATTCCTCCCTAATGATGTAGGACTACATGCATAAATCGAAAACTTGCACAAAATATTTTAAGAATAATTTCAGATTTTCGTTATTCATGATTAAAACAACAAAGTAAAACTAATAAATGGTCACTCCCGTTTAGGCTAAACTACGCAAGAGACTAAACGAAATCAAAACACGTAGGAAAAATAAAGCATTGCATGCGGAGTAGTTTCCAACTTAATCTTCATTTAACAACGAGATCCAAAAGCAAAGAAGTAACAAATCCTACGAATACTAGTGGATGACGATGAGTAGACACAATCTCTTGCTTGAACAATTTCTCACAAAGAAAGTAGAATTTGAAAGTAAATGAGTCAAGGAAGAAAATCACCTTCTCGGAGAAACGTCGTAATTCACCACGTACCTTCCAATAGTACTCCTTCAACGACTACCACGGGAGGACGGAATTTCTAGGGATCCGTCAATGATTTGAATCACGCCGACGAAGGAAATTTGAGAAGATCCACGATGCCTTGGCCGTTGGATGCGAAGTAGGAATTAAACGCCGGATTGGCCATGCATCATTATCATGTAAAGAGAGAAAGACCAAGAGTGATAGAGGGAGAGAGATGGCGGTGGGAGGGAGGAAGAAGCTAGGGTTAGGAGAGAACTAAATGGGATGAAGAACAATTGTTATAATCTCCATAACAAAATTATTCTCAGATTTTAAGTAGAAGTGGAGGGAAACTTTCTGAAATTTGAATTTCAAAGACATATAATTAGGAGCCTTAATGAAGCATTAAAGGAGGGGGGACCACTAAGGGGGGCCGACGACATAGTAAGGGGAAAGGGATTTGGGAGAGTGTAATGGGTTTCCTAATTCGCTCTAACAAATTAATGAAGAAAGATTTCAAATCCGTTTCAATTCAAATTTGAAATTGAAACATCATTGAAACTTTCCTAATTTGGCACCGGACAAATTTGGAAACTTTCACTCATCAAAATTTTCAAATTTCGAAATTTGAAAATACATGAGGTGGCGGCAAGGGAGCCGGTAATTAATGGGAGTGGAGTGGTAGATGTAGGGGAGGCCGGCGATTAAGGAGATGGCCGGCGGGATGAATGGGAGGGGGCGGATTTTGGGGAGATTGAGCTTGGGTGGTGAGGTTAGGAGGTGGTGATTGGTGGTGGGGAATGGCCGGCGATGGACGTTGGGTAGAGGGGAAACAAGGGAGTAGGATAAACCAAGAGCCACCGGTGGTGACTGTTGGGTACGACGGGTGGCCTCTCCTAGGCTCCACCAAACTCTCAACTCTCAAGCTCCACACAAAAGCTTCAAGAAGACAAAATGCAGGAAATTTTCTTCAATATCATTTATTAGCTCCAAAAGTACAAGATGAAGGCTATAAATAGCCTATTACAATGACTTAAAGCAAAAGAACTCAAATGCCCTCAAGGGCTACATGACTCAATCCCTCAAGCAAGGGTAAAAAGGGAAAAATGCTGAAATAAATTCCATCCATAAGAAATTAAAGTACATCAATAAGAAAATAACAATACTAAAATCAAAAGTACATCAGATAGATCGTGGCCGTAGGTCTACGGCCACGTCGACGGTAGACTTTCCAACTGATGTCCCCATCATCAATCTTTCCCAAAATTAATTTCAGAATTCGTTAATTGCTGAAATTAATTCCTGATTTCCCTAATTGTGTCTCCCCTACCATATTTCCACAAATATGAAATTTACTTGTTATGTTTACTCCCCCCTTGGATGGCCGGCCCTATCCTCACCCCTTCCTCCAAAAATGTTAACCCTAATTTGCACTTTCTCTTGAGGAAGACGAGAACTCTCCTCCCTTGGCCGGCCACATTCAAATCCCTTGAACCCATCATCTCTTGTCGATTATAAGGAGTGTTTACTTCAAAGCGAACCCACAGACGATCATCGCCCGGATCCTGAGGAGCATTGGAGCGAAGTTCAGAAATTTGAAGAAGGTGAAATCTCCTCTGAACCCTTTTATCTTCTAACTCCCCTATTGTGGCATCATCGAAATTATGAAAGCTTCTCTGCCTAACCCTCTAATATGAGCATGTGTGAGGGCTCTTAATAGTGACTATTCTAATTGTTAATTGATGGATTTTCTTTGAAAACCCCACGTTAAGCAAAGCTTAATTGATTTGATTATTTTGTGCTCCTAACTTTGTCTTGTAATCAATTGTCTAAGCATAATCACTGCTTTATTGTTTTCAATCTTTTATTTAAGTCGTAGAAAGTCGAATATTTGATATTGCTCACTCATAAGCGTGTAATTTCAAAGTTAGTAGCATCATATGTTCATGTAGTTCTACATCAATCCTATTTTTCTTTCTTCTTTGAGACCTAGTGAGAATTGGTTAGGATTGCTCCCACCCTCATATTGACTAGAATGAAAAGACTTTTATGAAGCTGGTTGAATTGGCAGAACTTTAAGGTTGGATTGACTAATTTTATTTCATCACTGCTATCTGTTCAAATATAGTTGGGGTCAAAGCTGTATATTTTTAATCAAATTCCTGGACCTTAAGTAAAGCCAATATGCTAAAAATAGAAGGACGAAAGGCTAAGGCTTTTGGTGATATTTCAGCCACTCTCTTCCTACTATTTTGAGTAGCAGACATTTTCTTAGCAAGCATATTAATTTCTAAGACATTTTCAAAGAAATTTTGATTTTCTTAGAAAGTTGCATGTTGCATTAATTAAAAAGCATAAAAGAGTAAAAAAGATTACATGCAGGTATGAAAATTATCTTTCCATGACAAAAAACAAACAAAAGAGGGAAGATCTTTGCTTCTATCTATCTCACTCCATACAAAAGTGTAACAAAAATGTTGATTTTCTAGGGCCGTAGTGTCGGAGGGCTTACGACCTTGAAAAATTATCTTCATATCCTTAAAATCCTGCACGAACTTAATAATATCTCTTGGGTCAAAGTGAAACTGGTCAAAAGACAAGTACAACTGCTAACCGAATTAAAGGCTGAACTGATTGATTTTATTCACTACTGCTATCTGCTCAATTATAGTTGGAGTCAAAGCTGTCTATTTTTCACCGAATTTTTGGACCTTATGTAAAGTTAGCCTTTTGCAAATAGAAGGACGAGACGTTAAGGCCTTTGGTGATATTTTAGCTATTCTCTTCCTACTATTTTAAGTAGCTGACATTTTCTTAGCAAGCATATCAATTTCTTAGGCTAGCTTAGATGAATGTTGATTTTCCATGGCCTTAGTGTTGGAGGGCTGACAACCTTGAAAAATTACTTTCATTTCCTTAAAAATCTTGCTCGAACTTAATAATATCTTTAGGGGCAAAGTGAAACAGGTCAAAAGACAAGTGCAATTGCTCACTGAATTTGAATAGCAGTTTACCCTCCATTATCTCTTGTTAAATTTTTACTAGATTGGCTTACAAATATTTCTGAAAATCAAAATTCTTTGTTCAAACTCTTACACTATATTTTCTTAAATCAATTCTCACTTCATCAAGCAGTTACTGCACTTTCTTTGTGATTTTTTTACCACTTGAATTATTAACCTCCATAATTGTGACTTGGACAAACCGATGATAATTGAGTTTTTTTATTGGTTCTTCAAGCATTAATAAAAAAGGTGTTTCTGTTAAATTTTCTGATTATTATCACTCTACAATAACAAAGCATTGAGGCTTAGGCATATAGTTTCTTAAGATAACTTTTAATTGTGTTGCTGTTTCTTTTTTATCATTCAGGTGAGGCAATCTATGTGGATGACATTCCTTCTCCGAAAGACTGTCTTTTTGGAGCTTTCATTATCAGTACAAGACCATTAGCTCGCATCACCGACATTAGCTTCAAAGCCACAAGGGCGACACAAAAAATTATCACTGTTATTTCGGCTGCAGACATCCCCAAAGGAGGGGGAAATATTGGTTGTTGCAACTTGCTTGGAGTGGATCCATTATTTGCAGATTCTCTTGCTGTGCATGTTGGTCAGCCACTGGGTGTTGTGGTATATAGCTTCTTTTTTATTATTATTTTTATTATTTTTTAATGTAGGGATGTAAATGAGCCAAGCTTTGGGTGAGCTCAAGTGTTTTTCAGCTTGGCTCGTAAAGCAAATGAATCATATTTTTTCATTTGTATTCTGCTTATTGACTTATCAAACTATACACTTGTTGGTCATGAACATATAGTTTATTTTGAAGTCCTATATAAACTATAAAATCTACATGTTGTCACATATTTATACATATATTTACACTATTTTAATGTATTAAAAGCATAATAAAGTTATTATCGGGGCAAAAACAATCGAACAAGGCCTTGTTCTTGTTCAGCTTGTTAAATATATGAGCTTATTAAAAAGTAGTATGAACTAGAACTAATTATCAAACCGGACATAATTGAAAACGAACTATGACCCAATTTTGTATAACATGTCATTAGTGAGCTGAAATGTCTTTTTCTGGTCAGTTCCATGTTTACACTAATCTTGTAATGGGGTTAGATTGCAGAAACACAACAGTTTGCCAACATGGGAGCTAAACAAGTTCTTGTTGACTACAGCACAGAGGGTTTGGAACCTCCTATTTTGTCCATGGGAGAGGCTGTGCAAAGATCCAGCTTCTTTGACGTACCCCCTTTTTTTTGTCCGGAGCAAGTTGGCGATTTCGGCAAAGGAATGCTAGAAGCTGATCACAAGATTCTCTCCGCTGAGGTACTTTTATTAACTAAAAATGTTCATGTAAAGATTATCCAGTTTTACTCGAGTAAAAATGTTAGTAATTATTCGTTTACTTGACTAGAACTTTTCCTTGTGTAATTGTACTAATCCAGCCATCTTCCATAACAATCTCCAGATTACACTCCCTTCTCAATATTACTTCTACATGGAGACACAAACAGCTCTTGCAGTACCAGATGAGGATAATTGTATGGTGGTGTACAGTTCTACTCAATTTCCAGAGGATACTGGTGTTATAATTGCCAAGTGCCTTGGTGTCCCAGTGAACAATATTCGTGTGATAACAAGAAGAGTTGGAGGAGGTTTTGGTGGCAAGGCAACAAAAGCAGTACCTGTGGGTACATTGACTTTTACCTTAAGGCACCAATTTTAGTTTGTCCTGACCTCAACTAAGCGGTAAAGTTTCATGAATTGATATCACAGGGAAAGAAAGTGAAAGGCCAAATGGAAGATTCGAGAAGGCATGAGAATAAATAGATTTAGGGAATAATTCTTGATTTCATTCAAAGATAATTTATTAGATAGCATTGTATTCTATTAATAGAAAATATAAATACAATTTAACTTCCAAAGAAGACATGAGAATAGATAGATTGAGGGAATAATTTCTGATTTCATTCAAAGCTAATTTATTAGATATCTTTTGTATTCTATTAATAGAATATAGAAATACAATTTAACTTCCAAAGAAACTGATCCTAATTAGATTGATTCCAGTCCTGCTTGATAACTTTAATTCAAACCTACGATTATCAACAGGACAATTCAATCTAATTAAGAGAGAATAAGTCTGTAATCATAAAATAAATTTAAATGACAAAAATTAAATGGTTGTATCTCCTTGTTGAACTAGCTTGATTGAGTCAGGGCTTGTACCAAGCCTTAATCCTTAATTTGGACTCCTTTGCCATATCATTAACAGTTAAAATTCTTCTGATGCTTAGGTTGCAACTGCTTGTGCTTTGGCAGCGTACAAGCTACGGCGTCCTGTCCGAATGTATGTTGATCGTAAAACTGATATGATAATGAATGCAGGACGGCATCCAATGAATATAAAGTACTCAGTGGGTTTCAAGTCTGATGGAAAAATTACAGCTTTACATATCGATCTGTTAATAGATGCTGGCATCTTTCTAGATTACAGCCCACTAATAGCACGTTCTGTAATTGAAGCTTTGAAGAAATACAACTGGGGTGCTCTTTCTTTTGATATCAAGCTTTGTAAGACAAATCTTCCATCAAAATCAGCAATGAGGGCGCCCGGGGATTTGCAGGGATCTTTTATTGCCGAAGCTATTATTGAACATGTCGCATCAAGCCTCCATATTGACACATACCTGATTAGAAAGAAAAATCTTCACAGCATCGAGAGTCTCGAGTATTACTATAGAGAATTTGAAACAGAAGCTTCTGAATACACATTGCCATCTTTGTTTGATAAACTGGTTACATCTACAATTTATAGTCATCGTGTGACAAAAATTCAAATTTTAAATAGCTTTTCTTTGTGGAAGAAGCGGGGAATTTCATGTGTACCCATAGTCTATCCAGTAACAGTTAGGCCAACCCCCGGAAAAGTGGGCATCCTCAAAGATGGTTCAGTTGTTGTGGAGGTTGGAGGAATTGAGTTGGGTCAAGGGCTATGGACAAAAGTGAAGCAGATGGCTGCTTTTTCTCTTGGAGAATTATGGGGAAATGATATTCCAGATCTTCTTGAGAGAATAAGGGTTATTCAAGCCGATACTTTAAGTTTGATCCAGGGAGGATGGACTGCTGGGAGCACCACATCTGAGTCATGCTGTGAGGCTGTTCGTTGTGCTTGCAGTGTCTTGGTTGACAGGCTGAAGCCTCTAAAGGACAGGTTACAAGAGCAAACGGGCTCAATTTCTTGGAACAATTTGATTTTCCAGGTAAATCTTAAGTTTTTAGAATCCATTAAGCGGAGTTTGTCTTTGTTGTCGCACATTCTAGTTTTGCTGTCCAACTAATTTGTTCTCTTCTTATTACAGGCAAGTCTTCAATCAGTGAACTTATCAGCAAGCACTCTTTGGGTTCCAGATGAAGGTTCTAACAGGTACCTGAATTATGGTGCTGCTGTGAGTGAGGTACAGCTACGTTTCTTTAGGATATTGCTTCTGTTATTAAACTTAATGTGTTTATAGCATCGTCAATTGCCTCTTATTTGCTCTTATGGAGATCATCTGGAATTTATGTGCCTTTTCAGGTGGAGGTTGATCTTCTTACTGGAGCCACTACCATTTTGCAGACTGATATAATCTATGACTGTGGACAGAGCCTAAATCCTGCTGTGGATCTGGGGCAGGTATCTCTATTTATGCTAAGGTGTTTTCTGAATAAATTGCGTTCAAAAGAAACATTTAAGGAGACAAAAGAACGTTTAATTCTTTTCTTCTGCCTTTGCTTCTCAATAATCTGGCATTTCACAATTTTGATTTGTGTGAAAAAAGTGGCAGGTTACTTCATAGCCTTATGAGTGCAACAAACTTGCAGCACATTTTGTTCATCTCTTTGTAATAAACAAGATTTGTGATATTTGAAAATTTATCATTTGCCCACACTTGTCGATGACCATAAATTAATTTACATGTCTTGTTAATGTTTGGCATATTTAGCAATTGATATGTGGTTGACCTGCTCTCTTATCATTTTTCCATCAACAGATTGAAGGCGCTTTTGTTCAAGGAATTGGTTTCTTCATGTGCGAGGAATACTTATCAAACTACGATGGTTTAGTGATTTCTGATGGGACATGGACTTACAAGATCCCAACTGTTGACAACATTCCAAAGAAATTTAATGTCGAGATTCTAAATAGTGGACATCATAAAAAACGTGTTCTTTCCTCTAAAGGTATTGTTTCTTTCCCCATAACGATGTTGAACCAGAATCTAGCTCACCAGGTTTGTATCACTCAACATTGTAAAATCTGACGAGTGATTGAACCATTGGAGCACTACTTCAAGTTTCAACTTGTGTCAAGGCATCTTAGAGTGTTGACCTTTTGGGTTTAGTTCCACGTAGGAATGGTGAAAATATATCGGTGTAGAAATATCAAATGGCTTGTTCTTTTTTATTCGCTTAAGCTTTTGGGTTAAAACATTTTGACCGTTGATATATCAAGCTCTATTTTTTATCTTGCTTTAGTCTATACTCCCCAACAACTTGCTTCATTTTTTGATAATTGACATCATCAATTGCATTATTCCAAATATTTGGGATTTGGGATTGATTTATGAACTCTTCATCGCCATTCATGTTAGTTAGGTATTCAATCTCGTGTTAACACGAATTCATATGAATCCTTTACTTAGAAAATGTATAAATCAAAGCTTATTCACTATTAATAGATGTTGACGAATATTTTCGCATCGACTCGACCCAAATCGAACCCGACTAGGCTCGATCGCGCTCGATCAACTAAATCGATCATCGTCGAGGCAAAATTAATCCGAATTGAGCCTCAATTTAATTAAATTAAACCCAATTTAATTTAATTAAAATCAAATCAAAATCAATCGAACCCCGTCAAGCTCAATTCGACGCGATTCGGCGTCGATTCAAGCTTAATGTCATGAAATTAGCTGGATCGGACCCAAACCGACCCCAATCGGTTCGGGTCGAGTCCAATCCTGACTCAATTTTAGCCCTAATTTCTCAATTTGGGCTGAATTTGATTTTCGAATCAAAGTTTTAGATCAAGGGCTCAGATTTCTTGTGGAATTTTGCCCTAAATCCCTCATTCCACGCGTGAGAAGGCCTGATTGGTTCACTTGGGCGGCATTTTTTTGGCTGGACGTGCTCCTCTAAGGACACGAAAGGAGAAAGGGGGGGAGCATTCGGCTTCCCCCGTAGGTTCCGTCCCAGACAGAGCACGGGAGAGAGGGAGAGGGGCATTTCGCCCCTTTGCGTGCATCTCCAGGCGCGGGAGGAGGAGGGGAACTCGGCTCCCCTTGCTTGCGTTTTGTCCGTACCAGGCAAGGCAGAAAGCATTCCCTTTCTTTCAATCCGTCCCTCATCAGGTGAAGGGAAGAGGCCGACCAAGGCCTCTTGCATGTGTCCTAGCCAAAAGAGGAGACCGGCCAATTGCTGTCTCCCCCTTCTTTGGACTGAAGGGAGTTCTCTCTTGCTACTATCACCTTGTTTTCTTCAATTGGAGAGCAAAAATCCATTCTTGCTGTTGCTGGTGAGCTTCTCTTCCAAAACCTAGGGCAAAGGCATGCTGAAATCAGCCTTTGCTGCAGCTAAGAAGTGGTAGGAAGCTTCCCCTTTCTTCCAAGCCAACTCCGGCGACCATTTGACGAAGAAATCAGCCTCCGGAGGCCTTCAAACGGCAGAAATTGCCGTCCAGAGCAGTTCGGACAGCAAATCCCCTCTCCGGAAAGACTTGGACAGCAATCACGCAGCCTCCGAAAGCTTCCAAACAGTGAAAACTGCTGTTCGGAAGCTTTGGACAGCAAGCAACGACCTCTGGAAGCTCTCAAACAGTGAAATTCTCTGTTTGGAACGTTGGGACAGCGGTCTTCCTCCTTGGGAAGGCCTTGGACAGCAGTTTGGAGCTTTCAAAGGAGCTTGGACAACAGTTTGGAGCTCTCAAAGGAGCTTGGACAGCGTTTGGAGCTTGGATTGGAGCGCTAGGACAACCCGGGTGAGGTAAAACACTAAAACTTAGTGAAACCTAGGGTCCCCCAAGGCCAATTGTTGTGTGGTTGACGCTCCCAACCCCTAGGTCCTTTAGAAACTTAAATTTATGCTTCCCCGAAATCCTATGATCGCTGTCCTCTTTGTAAACTTGGGAAAATCCGGTGATTTTTGCCAAGTTGCCCTCATGTGAGAGCCAAAAGGGAATGGTGATGTGCGTAGGGTTGTTGGATTGGTATCCAACACTCTCCAAATGCATGTGATATCACTCATATTGTGCCCAATCCATCACCCACAATCATGCCCTAGGGTAGACGCTATCATTTGACCTCAAAGTCAATGATGATGCATAGGTTTGGATTGTAACTAGTTGCATGCATTTCTCATTTAGATGCATTGTCATAAAAAAAAATAGACACAAAAAATTTAGGAGAACTTTTGCATGCATAATATTAGTTACCTCTAGAGTTTTGTTTAATACATGTGTTGAGTTTAATTGATTTGGGCTTCCTAGTCGTTGTGAGGCATAGACTTTCAAATGTCTATGTAACAAATCTCACAATATAAAGAGTCAATTAAGCTTATATCTTGTACCATACAAAACTTAGAGCATGTAGTAGCAATCTTAAAACTCATCTATAAATTGCGTGCACCCTTCTTTCAAGTACGAGTCATGGCAAAAGTGACTTACGAGTTGCGAGAAGTGTGTATGTGGTGAAGTTTGTGAGCTCCAATGAGGTTTTGTGAGTGCTTGAAGATGAATTTAGTCAACTATTGGAAACATCAAATCATTGTGGGGTCTCCCATAGACTTTCCAAAGTCTATGTTGTAGATCTCACAAAGCATGTTATTGATTAAGTTCATGTACAACATTGTGCAAAATCAAATACTTGATTGTTTTCAATTATCAAATTCTCTAATCTAAAGAATCATCTACACATGCACGCATTCTAGGTTCTTTCTTAGATCATTACCAAATTTGATCTTAAGTTTCCTAGAAGTCATAGGGATAGATCTCCCCTATCCAAGGATTTCTAAATCATGTCAAAATTGATTTAGATATCTCTCCAAAGCCTTAGGAAATCTATCTTCCCTCCTCGAATTGAGTCCAAAACACTTATGGGGAAATGAGGGAATTTCCTCTCTCATGCATGTCCCATTTCCGTTTGCTAACAACACAAAATTAATAAATAAACATTTCCCTTCTCATGTGTGATAGTTTGGAATTCTCTAAAACTCCAACTTATCATTATATGAAAATTTTGTAGCTTGGAACTAAATTCTAAGCTATCCATCCTTTTGTTGGAACATAAAACCAACAAACCATCTTCTTCCTTCAACCTCAAAGTTGTAGGAATTTTATCAAATCATTTATTCGTTGGAACACAAACCAATGAATAATCTCTAGACATGGAATTCAAATCCTAGTCTTCCTCATTTGCTTAGCCACTAATTAGGCAAATGAATACTCCTCCTTGGACACCAAATGTCCAAGGAATCCCTTTCAACATGCAATCCAAATGTTGCTTGTTGCTTCTCTCTTCTACAATTTAAGAGTTGTAGAAAGTCCTCTCATTCTCCTAAGCCCAAATCTAGGAGAATGATCATTCCCCCTTTGAACACCAAATGTTCAAGTACACTCATGAATGTGGAACCTCTAAGTTGCACATTATTTCCTCCTACCAAAACAAAAGTGTAGAAAATCTCTCCATTCACTTACCCTAAATCAAGTGAATGTGTGCCGTTTCCTTTGAATACCAAATGCTCAAGGAAATTCTTCTAACTTGCAACCTACAAATTGCACATGATTTTCCTCTTTCTACAATCCAAACGTTGTAGGAAGACCCTCTCATTCTCCTAAAACTCAAAATTGAGAGAATGTACACATCTCTTTGAGCACCAAATGTTCAAAGGATTTCTATGATTTGCAACCTCTAAGTTGCATTTCCTCTTTCCTACAAGCCAAGATTGTAGGAGAGCTTCCAAATCCATCTTCATGCTCTCAAACCTAAGTTGGATGAATGAATTTCTCTCTTTGAACTCCAAATGTTCAAAGAGATTTTAGAAGTTTGCAACCCAAAATTGCATCTTCCCTTCTCCTTTCTACAACTCAAAAGTTGTATGACAGTTTGAGTGAATCAATCTTAATCCAAGTCACCTATTTGTTGAATCAAAATCAACAAGTAGTTCAATCCAAAGTCATTTATTTGTTGAACCAAATTCAACAAATAATCCCATAGCAAGCAAAGGAGAAACTCCTATCTTTCTTCCATTCTCCTAACCAAATTTGGTGAATGAGTTCCTCTCATTGGACACCTAAAAGCCCAAAGAATCCTTGACGTGTAGGCCAAATCTACACATCATCTTCTCATGTTTGCTTAATCCAAACTTAGCAAACTAAATACCCATCATTGAACATAAAAGTTCAATGATAATCTCTCTTGATTTGTAACTCCAAAGTTACAAATCTTTCTCACTTATTGAGCTAAATTCAACAAGTGACTCACCTTTGTTTGCTTAATCAAAATTAAGCAAATGAAATCCAACTCATTGAATACAATAATTCAAGGAGACATCTTTTTGATTTGTAGCCTCAAAGCTACTAATCTCCATTCACTTTTATAGGTTCCAAAAGCCTTAAAAGATGTAATGCCTTAGCCCAAAAGCTATAGGTTTTCTCTCCTTCAACTCCAAAGTCGTTGGAGATTTCTCTTCTCTTTAGCTCCAAAAGCTAGAGAGAGCTCTCCTACATTTAGCCCAAAACTAAATGTTGGATCTCTATCTTTCTCCTCTTAGCTCCAAAAGCTAAGAAGATTTCTCCAACATGTAGCCCAAAAGTTACATGTTTGACACCTTTCTTAGACTCAAAATCTAAGTAATTTCCTCTACTCAACCCAAATTGAATGATTTTCCTATGATTTTTCTATGACATTTAAAATGCTAAACATATAGATGTCCCTTTGGAATTATCCAATTTGTTGAAGTTTATCCTACTCTATTGGATGGATTTCACCGAGTCCTAAGTGAAACCTCTTAGGCATATCTATCTTACCCTATTAGATAGATATTTCTCTTATCCAAATACTAAGAGAACTCCAAAACATCTAAAAATTACTTAGGTTCCTTTTGATACAATAATCAATCATCTACCCCAAAAGGTGGGATGCCTACATTATTGTGTCTTAGGATTCATAAGTAACAGGCTTGCCCAA